CCCCCATGTCACGTCCAGGCACTGGAACGAGGATGTAAAGGGTACGGGGAAGGGGGTTTACAACCTTCTGTATGCTTTGGAGGGGCTCCAGTGACGCGGGGAGGTACAGAGAGGGATTCCTGAGAGTCTATGGGTTCTCCCCAGGGATTTTGAAGCAACGTTTTCTTATTTAAATGATAAAGTGATTAAATTTAGGATCTGTCTATTCTAGGGGTTGAAGCTGCTGCCTCTGGCCTGAAAGATCCTGAATACAAATCTTGGCAGCCACTTGGCAAAGGGTCTCCTTGCAGCCAGGTTCCAGGACAAGGTGAGAAGTTAAATGAGGCAAAGGCACGTCCTTGCTGACCTTGGCATCCCCCCGTCAAATGGGTTCTGGCTTGTATTTACAGTTCAGTCCCAGGCTTCCTGAGGGAGGTGACCCTTGTGCCGAGCAGAGATTGTGGGGCTGACGCGTATGTAACCACATCGGCACATTTTATTTGTTTGTGCAGTGCCTTCTGATTGACCTGTTTTCTCTAGGTCCTTGGTGCTAACAAAAACCACAGGGTAAGTCGCCATGGAGGTTTATATTTGTGCACAGCTGATCCTCGCTATTCACAGATTTGCAAATTCACCTACTCGTTAAGATTTGTCACCCCAACATCAATACTCGTAGCACTTTTGCAGTCATTTGCAGACAGTGACAGAGCAGTGAAAATTTTGAGTCACCCAAGACACACATTCTCAGCTGAGGTCAAACAAGGCGACAACACTGGCCTGACCTTCTCGCTTCAGCGCTCACACCATAAACAAGGATCGCTTTGTGGTCCATTTAGTACCACATTTTTCACATTTGGGAGCTTTTCTGTTGGTGAATCTCACTGTTCCAATGGTCCCCAAGCATAGTGTTGCGGTAAGCTCAAGGTGGCTGTGATGGCCTCACAGGGGGAAATGCATGTGTTCCGTGAGCTTCCTTCAGGCATGGTGACAGTGGTATAGGCTTGGGTTCCCTGTCCCTGAGTCAGCAGCCTTTGAGCAGGAAAACATTTAAGACAAGGCTGTGTTTTATGATTAACAAAAACATGGCCAGAGTCTGGAACCCAACCCTTGTATTTCCTCTAGGAAACATGGTTTAGTCTTTGC